CAACATCCACCACAACAGATTATTGGAAACATCCATGAAGGGGTTCGTACTAGATCAGCAATTCAAAAAGAGGCACTATTCTCATGCTTCATCTCACAAATTGAACCCAAAAAAATTGAAGAAGCCCTACTTGACTCTGACTGGATACAAGCCATGCAAGAAGAACTCAACCAGTTTGAAAGAAATAATGTATGGGAGCTTGTATCCAGACCCTATCATCAACATGTGATAGGAACTAAATGGGTGTTCAGAAACAAAATGGATGAGGAAGGCACCATTGTCAAGAACAAGGCAAGACTGGTAGCCAAAGGCTACTGCCAGGAAGAAGGTATAGATTTTGATGAAACCTTTGCTCCCGTTGCTAGATTAGAAGCAATAAGAATATTCTTGGCTTATGCTGCTCACAAGCAATTCACAGTCTATCAAATGGATGTGAAAAGTGCCTTCCTAAACGGTCTACTAGAAGAGGAGGTCTATGTGGAGCAACCTCCCGGTTTTGAAATCAATAGAGAGAAGGATCTAGTCTACAAACTGCATAAAGCTCTTTATGGACTAAAACAAGCCCCAAGAGCATGGTATGACACTCTCTCTGATTACTTAGTGAATAATGGATTCATTAAGGGCAAAGTAGACAAGACTTTATTCAAAATTGAAGAAGGTCCCCACATATTGCTTGTTCAAATCTATGTTGATGACATAATTTTTGGAAGTTCAAATCAAGCATTGTGTGAGAAATTTTCAACTCTCATGAAAAACAAGTTTGAAATGAGCATGATGGGAGAGTTGAATTATTTTCTGGGACTACAAGTGAAGCAGACTTCTCAAGGTATCTTCATCAACCAAGCCAAATATACAAGAGATCTCATGAAAAAGTTCAAAGTCGAAAACAAGTCAACTGTAAAAATACCCATGAATACATCCCAAGGTCTAAGTCAGGATGATGATGGCAAAGATGTTGATCCCACACTTTACAGAGGTCTGATTGGTTCCTTGTTATATCTCACCACTAGTCGGCCAGATATTTCCTACTCAGTCGGTGTGTGTGCAAGGTTTCAATCTAAGCCTAAGGAAAGCCATCTTCTAGCTGCCAAGAAAATTCTGAGGTATCTAAAAGGCAATCCTAACTCTGGATTATGGTACCCAACAAATGGAGGTTTTGAACTCTATGGTTATTCGGACTCTGACTTTGCCGGATGCAAAATTGATAGAAAAAGCACCTCAGGAACTTGTCAATTAATTGGTGGAAGACTTGTTTCATGGTTCAGCAAGAAACAAAGCTCAATTGCTACAAGCACTGCCGAAGCTGAATATATAGCTGCAGGCAGCTGCTGTGCTCAAGTTCTTTGGATGAAACAACAATTAAAGGATTATGGAGAAGAAACAAAGGAGATTAGCATACTGTGTGACAACACAAGTGCTATAGCTATTACTCATAATCCTGTGTTTCACTCAAGAACCAAGCATATTGAGATCAGGCACCACTTTATCAGAGAGCATGTTGAGAAGAAAACCATCAAGCTTGAGTACATCTCCACCGAAAAGCAGCTGGCTGACATCTTCACCAAACCATTGAATGAAGCGAGATTCAACCAACTAAGGCAAGAGCTTGGTATGTTAGATGATCTGGATCAAGTAAGGGAATAACCCTGCATCTATTCAGGGGGAACCTAATTCCATAATCAAGGAGGAATTCCTAGCCATCTGCTGAGGGGGAATCAACAGGGGTAGCCATCTCAGGCTACTCACAATCCAAAAAGGAATGAAGCATCAAGGTCCAAGAAGGTCTATCTCAGACTTTCAAAAGAAAGAGGGAATCAAAATTCAAGAAGTAGGCTCAGCAGGTGACTACTCAAGACAGCAGTAGGGTCAGCAGGCAACTGGGTACCAGCCTACTGCTACATGTGTAAAGAGAAGATGTGTATAACATGACAAATAAGCATGGAATAAGGAAGGAAACATGGAGATGAAAACACTAGCTCAAAAATTCAGGCAGGTACCTACCAGCAGATGTCTCCCTGCTAAGCAGATTACAGCCTCAGGTCAGCAGTTGGCTTAATGATTGACAAAGATACTTGTAATCTCAACTCATGAAGAATACCATCTTGATCTCCTTGTATCAAGGATTCTAAAAGAAGTAAGTCATTCTTTCAGAAGACCATCAATACTACCGAGCCCTCTGCTACCAGTGTGAACACAATCAATACTAGACGAAACCAGCCATCTTCTCCAACGGCTATATCTCAACGGCTAGTTCCCGATAGCCTATAAATACTTCTTCCGTACATTCCACTTCACACTTTTCACTTTGCAATCTCTTTCTACCTGTTTCAAAGCTCTCAAATTCACTCTAAGCATTCTGAAAAGCTCTATTACACCCAACCACCGCAAACCATTCCATTCTCCATATACACCCAAATGGCCTCCCTTGTCCAAATTTCCAAATCCATCTTCACCGGATCCATCCTAAACACTCCAAGAATTCTTGAGAAAGCAGAGAACAAAGATCTCATGAGGGAACTTCTCAGAAAACTAGAAACAACAGGACTCATGAAAATGGCCACCTTTCCTTACTCCTGTTTCTACCCCGAGGTAGTAGCAGAGTTCTGCACCAACTCCACACCTGAGACGTTGAAATCTGTAGTGATGGGGTTCGAGGTAGAGATAAAAGAAGAAGACATAAAGGAAATGCTTTCTCTACCTGGGGATGAAGCCAGAAACATCAATGACATTACCCTTGAAGAGCAAAGCTTCAAAGAAATGGTATTCCTCCCAAAGGCTCAACACCTTAACACTCTAAAGGTAAAGAAGAGCATGCTGGTACCAGAATATTCTCTTCTGATGGACATCCTATACAAATGCATTGACAACAGAACAACTGCATTGGATGAAATAAATGCACAAAGGGCACTTCCACTAGCAGCCATCATCTCTGGCTCCCCTCACAACTGGTCTCGGTATGTGTACAACAAGATACTGAAGTATGTAAACAAGTCACACAAGGGACGAGGAAAGGATGGAAGCCTACCACTACTAGGATACGGGTTCTTGATTGGAGAACTCCTAAGAAGGAAGGGGATAGTAGGGGAAATCAAGGAAAAAACCAACTGGAGGAAATTCCTCCACCAAACCTCCAAAGCTGGTGCTCCACAAATACCAAAGACAGACCCCTCCTTTGTCTCCAACGAACTCCTTTTGGTATCCTTCAAAGTTGATACCAAGACAGCCAAAAGACTACGCTCAGGGTGTCAAGGCCCTAAATCCAAGAAGCAAAGAAAAGCAACAAGGAATCTGCAAGACGAACTTGACGAGGCGGCCTCAGTCATCCAAGAAAAAGAAGCAGTGGCCTCTCCTTTAACCATCATACAAGAAGAAGCAGAGTCCTCTTCCAGCTCATCCAATGGAAGCAACAGCTCTGCTCTCCCTCTCTCTGTTCTAATTCCCAGAATAACTCAACAAGGAAAGGGGAATGGGCTAGAGTCAAAGCTTGGAGAGAATGGAAACACTCCAAAATTCTCCACCAAGCCAGAACCCTAACAAAATTCATCTGTGAAGAGTATTTTGCTCTCACCTGGCTTGGAACTGGAGACATAGCCAAAGCCACAAATCTTCACCAGATGAATCTGGTCTATCTCACAAAGAAGAGGCAGCTAACTAATGAATCACCAGAAGAGCACTCCGAGGATAAAAATGATGATTCTGATGATGATGATGACAACCACTCTGGTCCAAATAACCCTCCACAGAATAACCCTCTTCGAGACAGAACTCGCCCTGATCATGTCTGTTTGCTCAAGAAGTCCCTTTATGGCCTCAAACAGGCTCCTCGGGCCTGGTATCAGCGTTTCACTGATTTTGTTACTTCTATTGGCTTTACTCACAGTAAAACAGATCACTCTCTATTTATTTACAGGAAGGGCCCAGACATTGCTTATCTTCTTATATATGTTGATGACATCATTCTCACAGCTTCATCAGACAGATTACGACAGCACTTTACTGATTGTTTGAGCTCTGAGTTTGCTATGAAGGATCTCGGTCCTTTGAGTTTCTTTCTTGGCATTGCTGTTACTCGTGATCATCACAGTCTGTTCTTATCTCAGAAACAATATGCTGCGGATATTATTGACCGGGCCGGCATGACTAATTGTAGCTCATGTCCCACACCCGTTGACACTAAGCCTAAACTGAGTGCATCTCCGGGTACTCCGTATGAAAATCCTACTCAATATCGCAGTCTTGCAGGTGCCTTGCAATATCTTACTTTCACTAGACCAGACATCTCCTATGCGGTCCAACAAGTTTGTCTTCACATGCATGATCCACAAACCAAGCATATGAGTGCTCTTAAGCGTATCATTCGCTATTTGCAAGGTACCATGTCTCACGGTTTATACTTGACTAAATCTTGTGCTGGTCAACTTATCTCGTATACTGATGCGGATTGGGGAGGCTGTCCGGATACTAGAAGGTCAACTTCAGGGTATTGTGTCTTTCTTGGGGACAATCTAATTTCATGGTCCTCCAAGCGTCAGCCAACTTTATCCCGTTCTAGTGCAGAAGCAGAGTATCGCGGAGTTGCAAATGTTGTCTCTGAGACATGCTGGATCAGAAACTTATTACTTGAGCTTCATTGCCCGCTTTCTACAGCCACACTTGTATATTGTGACAATGTGAGTGCCATCTACTTGTCAGGAAATCCGGTGCAACACCAGCGGACCAAACATATCGAAATGGACATTCATTTTGTTCGTGAAAAAGTTGCTAAAGGTGAAGTACGAGTTCTACATGTTCCCTCACGCTATCAAATTGCAGACATCTTTACGAAAGGGATTCCCCGCGTTTTATTTGACGATTTTCGTGCCAGCCTTAGCGTCCGCGAAGCTCCCGCTAAGACTGCGGGGGAGTGTTAGAATACGTTAGAATATATGTAAATATATTCTATTTATTATGTATTGATTTAGTTACCTAGTTTGTAGTTATTCAATTCATTGCATATATTTAGTTACCTTATTCATCTCTTGTAATCATGTATATAAACCCATTTGAGTAATGAGAAAACACACGCTGAGTTCTTTCAGTGCTTCAGTCCGCTCAAATCGTCGCAGGCTGTTCTGGAACACAGAAACGCTGGAGGAGGAGGGTTTTGGTGAAAATTTTGAACTTTCCCCACTTATAGGAAACGACGTTCGGTTAAATGAAAAAAAAAATACTATGTATTCCGGATGTAAAATTCCGAAGTCAATTACTAAAAAAAATACTATGTATTCCGGATGTAAAATTCCGAAGTCAATTACTCCAATACTCCATATTAGGTTTATGCCGTTCAGTCTTTCAGAGCCGAATTATATTGTTGGGAATTCAAAGACTAAATTCACAGAACCCTCTAATAGATTGGCATCTTGGATTCTTGGACTCTTCGAGATTGCAGATTTGGGGATTTGACCTTTCCCCTTCCTTTGTGGTCTTCGTTTGCCGACTTCCCGCTGCCAATTGCAAGTAGTATAATAGCTGCATAATAATTTATTAATTACATTTAGGCCTTGACCCGTAAGTGGTATTGTGGTTTAGATTTTAGGCCTCCTTGTTTTGTTTAAGGTTTAATCAATTAATAATTTACTTGTCTAGCCGTTTTTACTAAATTGAAAGTTTGTAATTATTTTCTTAAAAACTAATGGAGATGCTTGGTTTTTATAATTTTGAGGTTATCTATGTGACTATGTCTATATATAATTTTGGGGTGGTGGGTCTTCAAAAATAAGCTCATATGAATTTAATCCAAATGATATTGCGGTTGATCCGGGGCCACATACACCACCTATCAATGATTTTGACAATTTCGACCAAGTTCGAAGAGAGTGTTTAACTAGAGGTCCTTGGTTATATACGCAAGAACGGGATTTTTGCAAACATTGAAAATGAAGCAATTTTGCGACGCTTTCAACGCATGCAGACACACATTTTGACATATTATGTATTTTTTATACTCTTATTAAAATTTCAGTGTCTTGAGTTTAAACATTCTTTTAGCCACCCCTTAAATTCGGTTCTTTCCGCCACTGTATATAGGTAAGTATAATAGAATGACTTGATTGAGTTTTTAATTATTAATTTCCGGATGTATAGCTAAGACGAGGATGCAATTTTTGGATTGACTTCTGTTGGAACACGACTCCTGACGTTTTATATTCGTGATAGAAAAAAGGAGACAAAACTAAAAATACACACAGAAAAGAGTTGTTACAATTTACGATTGTGGCCTGATTGATGGCTGTCCAAAAAGGGGTAATAATGCTTCATTGACACCATATATATTCATGCAATGCAAATTTTGCCATACTTGAATTACATTCAATGGTTTACTTGAAAGCCAAATACTACAGACCCATGCCTCATTTCTCAATCTCCTCTTCAATGTGGCCATCTACATTGACAAATGAATAAGGAGATCAATAAAGATCAGATATATTATATTGAGTACCTGATTTGAGCTTCCAAAACCTGGTTTTATCCATTTTGTGATTGCTTAATCTCATTGTACGCTTAATGATTTTGGAACATATGAACTTTTACCAGTGAGTGTGACAGCCAAGCTTGCCTGTTTATCCGCTTCAGTGTTCAATTTCTACAAATTCAAATGTAGATACAAATGAAAAACATTAGAGTTTTTTAAAAAGTATATTTAAGAGGTCATACTTTTGTGAACAACATCTATTTTAATCATAAAAAATATACTCCGTATGATTTTTTCATAACATTATTTATAGTAGTTAACACTACCTGGCTCTATCCCAAAAGATACTTTATTAATATACATTTCTTAATTGAAATGCAACACTTAAAACTCATCATCAGTCAATTCAGCCATACTCGTATTTTCATACTTGGTATTTAATTTTTGGTTCAATTATTTTTTATGAGATTTTTCTTTAAATATTACTGAAATAAAATTTATAGACAAAAAATGTGATCAAAGTTACCATGATTATACCGCTCGGTCACTACAATGTCATTACAATGTAAAGTCGAATATAATCATTGATAAAGTCGTTTTTATAGTCACTAAAGTATAAAAAATCAAATCATTTACAATATTTGTCAAAACAATAACCCTTGCTTCAGGAAGAAAAACTGAATTACGGGTATTTTTTTTTTAATGCAAAATTACGGGTATTTCAGAAGTTGTATACTGTTTTTAAACCAAAGTCATCCGTATTTATAACATGTTTCCAAATTCCACATATAATCTAATACACTTCCAAATTCCACATATAATCTAATACTCCCTCCGTCCCTAATAACTTTGCCAAGTTTGACTGGCACGGGGATTAATAAAGTAAAAAGTGTGTTGTTGAGGTTTGTGCAGAGGAGAGAGAATTAACTGGAACCACAAATTCTTTACTTAAATGGGAAAGTGGCAAAGTTAATGGGACATCCAAAAAAGGAAAGTCGGCAAAGTTATAAGGGACGGAGGGAGTATACACTAATACATTATGTTTCTAATGCACTTTTGGTTTCATATAAACTACTAGGAAGTATTGTTTAAACTTCAGTCTTCAGAGGGGTAAAACTAGGACTAAGTAATTGATGTTCCATATAGATTTCATAAAAGATGACCACAAAAGAAGTTTAAAAACTTGACTGATATCTAGGACCGGAGAAGCTAGCAGAGAGTGTAATAAGCACTGAAATCACAAAGTGAGATACAATGAGAAAGAAAATTCAATGAATAGAGTAGCATAAAAATCAAACAAAAGTAGAATGGGCAAAAATTACCCGCGAAACATGCTCTATCTTGAAGGATAGAAACCTGGCCTTGAGTTGTTTGGCCTGCTCGCACAAGGTTGAAATTCTTCGGCTTTTAACTTTCACTTGCTCTTGGATCTAATGAACACCAACATATATGGTGTATATTTTAGACTCCAGTAGAGATGATAGGAGGGTTAATTAACAACTTAACACACAAAATAGTAAGATAAAACCTGCATGCAAACTGTCTTAGAGTCACCCCGAACACGAATGTGAGTAAATCCTTTCTGAAGTGCATACTTCAATCCCAAAATAATGGCCCGATATTCGGCAGTGCTAGAGTCTGCTGTGCCCAAACCTTCACGCAGGTGACAGGTCTGTGGAAAAATAAGGGAGTGGATGGGATAAGCCCCTCAACGAGTATAATAAGAAAACACTTTGTTCTCTATTATTTACTCCGTATATAACACAATAAACCATTATATAAGAATAGAAGATCAACCTATTTTGCCATTCCCACCCTTTCTCACTTTTGGACTTCTTGACCAAAAGTGAGAATGACATAATAGTCGCTTGACACAATAATAATGCTTACCATACTGCCATTATCGGCACGAAGCACAGCACCTGCCCCTGCTTGTCCATTTGCTTTGGAAGAACCATCAAATTCAAGCATACAGGAGGGCTGGTACTTTAAAAAGAAATCAGGTTCAGTTGCAGCATCATTATAATCAATCGTAGCCAGTCAAACTATGTTAGATATTCTATGATTTCTTGCCAATGATTTTTTACTCTTTCACAGGGCAGCGGTAGAACACAAGATACATTTAATTAGAGCCTCGTCCCAAAAACTGGTCTCTTGGTAGTGTGTAAGAAAACCTCAAGAAGTTTACTTAATTTATGCTTAAATATTTGACATCATTCATACATCATGATTCATGAGAATGTGAGATACTACGTATAAGGAATGGTAAGAGAAAATTCCTTAAACATGACTAAACATACACAAATTGCACATATACACAAATTTTGCATATAAGACAATCATTATTTTCTTCTTCCTCAAATATGACTCATGTACTTCTCATTGGGGAAGTTTTTTATTATTCAAAGGATCAAATAAGTCGAGAGAAGTTTTTTTTATCATTCAAAGGATCAAATAAGTCGAGAAAAATATAGATACTCTTATTTGTCCACTTTGTCTATGTTATAATCCTATTTGAAGCTATTTTTGTATGATATATACATATGGTGAAATGCATAAATGATACCTTAATTATTGGTATTGTTCTTAATTATTGGTATTGTTGCGTTTTGATACCTTAATTTTTAAATGAGTCAAATCAGTATCATAATTACACATTAATGTTTCAATTGACAATTACGTTATGTGTAAAGTCCACTTCACCTTACTTTTGTTCTTGTCATCGATGTGCAGTGGATTCTACACATGAAAATTTGATTGCATATAAGATTTTTTTACCGCACATGAAAATTTGATTGCATATAAGATTTTTTTACCGCAAATTTGAACAATATTGTAAATTGAAACATTCATGTACAATTATGATACTCATTTGATTCATTTAAAAGTTAGGGTACCAAAACGCAATAATACCAATAGTTAAGATATCACATTATTTGACCCGATATACATATCTATTAAAGTGGGTGTAACTCATCCAAATAGATCCCAAGAAGTTGGTTTACCTTAGGCTTATTTATTGTTGGTGCATGAGTATGATCTGGTTTTTTTCCTTGAGAACCATTCTTGTTCTCTCCTTTAGAACCATTCTTCTTTGTCATTGTAGAAGAATATGATCTAACTAGAAGACTTTCTATAGCTGAGTGATATCCAACAAGACTGCGACTCTTTGAAGTTGTAGCAGATCGAAGAAAATGCATGAAACAAGATGTTCATCAACCCACCAAGACTTTACCAGGCTTCCCCTAATCTCCATAGAGAAAAAACAAAACAGAAGAATAAGAAAGATAAAAACTTTAGGCACGCATGTTAATTTCAGTTGAACAGTCGAAATGAAAACCTGGGTTTCGAGTCTCTTAGCTTCCTTGAAACTAAATACAAATATTACACTCCCAAGGCAGTAACTTTGCTGGATTAATTTAGAGTTGAAAAGAAACGACATTTATATGAGTAGGTTATGTGTAATGTGGTAAAGCTAATGATGATTAGAATAGCATGAATAATTAAGTTCAAGACACGCGGCAGTTACTTAAGTTCAAGACAGTCCAACTGCTACATTACGTGGAAGTTCATTACGGTATTACCGATCATGACTGTCTTAAGGGAGATTTGATCAAAACATAGTTTTCTACTAATATATGTCCATTTTGGTCAGTTATTTACTTATTTGTAACATCGATGTTACAGAAAAAGTTTTATAACAAAGAAAATTGTTTAATCATTCGTATTCCTTGTAAAAAAGAATATATATGACTCCATGTTACGTAGTACCGGAGTATTTTCTTTAGCAATACTCATGTACACTCAATAATCTCTTTATACTACCTCCGTCCCATAATAGTTGTCTTATTTCAATTTGACACGATTATTAATAAAGTGGTGAAAAATTAAAAGTTGTGGTTGAGATTTGAGTATGAATGAAGTGAAATGATATGGATCATTTCTTACCAAAAAGGAAAACACGACATTCATTTTGGGACAATCCAAAATAGAAAGTAACATAAGACAACTAAAATGGGACGGAGGGAGTATTTGCTTGTTTCATCAAATTTGTAGTTGGTGAGGTTCACTCTTAGAAGTCTAAGAGCATCTCCAATGGTAAAATGTGCACGGTGCACACGAGCATGAGAAATGACCACATAAATATTAGTAAATAAATTCTTTCTCTCCTTATTTGAATGATTTTATACAATTTTGGTAAGTTTTCTCCACAATGTCAAGAAGACTGTCTAGATGTTTACATTGTTGATATTGCAGGGAAAAACTTACCAAAATTGTATAAAATCATTCAAACAAAGAGAGAGATAATTAATGTGCTAATATTTATGTGGCTATCACTCATGCCACATGTGCACCGTGCACATTATAGCATTGGAGATGCTCGAAAAGCTCGACACAGTCCTTTACTTTCTTAGGAGTTCCTTTGTTATAGATTGATTTATTGAATGTTTAAGGCAAGAAAGAAGTGAGAGCAAAACATTTAATAAGAGGCAAAGTGGATCTAGTTCTATTGAAGTCTTTAGAACGAGTAAAACATAATGCCGAGTGAGCGCTCCGACCCCCTAAATCAAGCTGAATGTTACATAAAAACTAGAGAAAAGTCTAATGTTAAGGATACAAAAGTGTCAACCCTTAGCTTTAATTTGCAATGAAATAAATGATGTTGTTTATACTAAAGGTGACAACTCCGGTACCTTTCTAAAATATGGGGTACCGTACCTATCATTCATTTGATTGGACCTTATCACTTTATCATTTTTAATTTAGATTTAAATAATTCAACTGCTACATTCTCGTTGGTTCATATGGACAAAGGTATGATACCTTATGGGTACCATAAAATTTATCTATACTAAAAAGTAGGTGATGGAGGTGATATGCACTAATTAGTAGTGCATAAGTGTATGTTTTTATGTTTGATTTGTGTGTATTGTTTATCGTTTTATTTAGTTTGTAAACATTTATGTGATTTTAGTTGTAATTGTATTTTAATCTTCATTTGTAAGTTGGAAAGTAGAGTTAGTATTTATGGTGTTAGAAAGGAAGAGTTTGAAGTGAAGAAAATGGTGATAAGTGTGCCCAGGAGCACAAACCCGGTCGGGTCAGACCATGCACCCGGTCGGGTCTGATGTAAAATCCGAAACTGCCTGGAAAATCATCAGACCCGGTCGGGTCCCCTACTTGACCCGGTCGGGTCAGACTTGACCCGGGACACCAGAACGTGCCGAAGATCGCCAGAACGTGGAGGATATCTGATTTTGACCGGACCCGGTCGGGTAAGCACCTAACCCGGTCGGGTACCCGGCCCAAGGTGTTGAAAAACACCTATAAATAACCCCATTTTCCTTCACAAAGAATAACTCCTTCTTCCATACTCTTAAGCTTAGTTTAGAATAGTATTTCTTTTATATTTTTATAGCATGTTTAGTCTCCAAATGAGGAGCTAAACTTCCATTTCTTGGTGTTGCTCTTGAAGCTTGTTGATTATTAAAGTTGTGAGTTATTTTCTTAACTTCTTCCCTTGAATATTAATTATTCTCTTAATCTATCTATATATTAATGTTGTGGAGTGTTGCTAAGATGACAATTAGTTAACATCTCGACATTAATTATAGTAGTATTTATTTTCTTCCTCTATATATTAATGTTGGGGAGTGTTGCTAAGATGACAATTAGATAACATCTTGACATTAGTTATAGTAGGATTATTCATATTTAATCTTCTTCCTTGAATATTAATTCTTCCCTTAATCTATCTCTATATTAATGTTGGGGAGTGTTGCTAAGATGACAATTAGTTAACATCTCGACATTAATTACTACTAGAAACAATCAACGAACCGATGGTTAATCGTTGATGGCTTCACAAGTAAGTAACTTCGGTTTATTAATGCACGGTCGTGGTTAATAAACTTAAGAGGGATTAATTTTGTTGGTTAAACCGAAACCGTTGTGTTGAGGTTATCAATCTCAATTGATTTCATCAAGGAGTTAAGAGATTAAATGCTACTATTAAGTCGGTATATGACGGTGTTCTATACTTGACTGATAGTAAGGGTTATTAATGAACGGTCGTTGTTAATAACTACTCTCGATGAATTGGATATACTCCTCGACTGAGTATTTGAGAGGGGATAAGTTATAGATATAACAATGATCGACTAAAATATATCAACAAGTGGAAAGTAGCAATACCAAGTCCTTTTTATCTTTGAATCAAATCACATTTAACTTGTTCATCTTCGTGTTTTATTTTAGTTAAATCACTCAATCAAAACCCCCCCTTTATTTACTAGTTCTATAAAAAGAGAATTATTCCTTTCCCTGTGGATACGAACTCTACTTCACTATACTACGTATTAGTGTTAGTATTGAATTTATTTTGAGTGCACTCACGACAAAGTGCACGTCAAATTTGGCGCCGTTGCCGGGGAAAGGCAATTATTTTTCTTTTTATTTTATCTCATAAAAATCAAAAACAAAAAAAAATTAAAAAAAAAAAATCTTACTCTTCTATTTTCTGACCTTACATGAGTTATGAGTTATGAGTATATGGATGCCAACATATCATCCTTAGAGAGTCAAATTTCCTTCTTGACTTCTCTAATAAAGGGATTTATCTTAAACTCGGAAGCTCAAGATGCCAAGACATGCAACATTTGCATGTCTCACAGGCATTTTACGGATTTCTGCCCAAAGTTCCAAGATGAATACCTTGAACAAATTGATGATGTTGGTTACGAAAGGGATGCACCTCACATGAGGTATGATCCGTTCTCCAACTCTAACATGTCTACAGAGGATATGGTCCGGGCTATTGCTACCACCATGACCACCATGCAAAACAACATGGTGCAATTCCAAAATGAGACCAAGTCTAGCATTTCAAACTTGGAAACTCAAATGATTCAAATAGCCGGAGCCGTAAGTAGGCTTGAAGCAAGGGATTCGGAAAAACTTCCCTCTCAAATAGAATGTGATCCTAAACAACAAACTTTTGCAATCACATTGACAAATGAGAAGGAAATGCAAAAGGAGATCCAAAATCCAGAAGAAGTAGAAGAAGAAAGAGACGCGGAGCTCCAGCTAGTCAAAGAAGAGGATGAACCGAGTTTCAAGGTCAAATATCTATACTTGTCATCCTTTGAGGTACCCCCAACAATTCTAAAAACTTTGAGGGAAACTCATAAAATTGACAAGGATGACATTTTTGAAATCTTCAGCAAAATTGAGGGATCAAAACATTTTCCGTTAACCACGTTTAACGATAATTTCTTTCCCTCACTCCCACCACATGAATCAATGAAAATCTGGATATTTGATCCTGGAAAGATTTTCAAAGTGAAGAGTCAAGAAATTAAGCATTCCTATGGAAGTTCTAGGAGTGAAAGTGTGAAGAAGATAAACTATCACGATCCAAGTTTGAATGACTGAACACAATGACAGCGTCGTGCCACGACGTTAAATAAAGCGCTTCTTGGGAGGCAACCCATGCAAGGTACATTTACTTATTGCATTTTATTTTTGCACTTTAAAAAATAATAACCTCATTCGTCTTTTCCAAATTCGAACCCAATTCAATTACCCCAAACCTCCTAACCATATCCCTCTTTCTTCAAAATCTATCCAAATCCTCCACCAAACCCCACAAAAAAATCATAATCTTGTTCTCATCACTGTCCTCTTGCTCCACATACCCCCTAATCCACAAACTCTTGGAAGCAACCACCCCTCTCCCAATCCACAACTTTATATCTTCAAAAAAAGTGATGGCGATAACGAGCACTAGGGACAGTGCTCCGAGCTAAGTGAGGGGGAGTCACTCATTGATACACAATTATTTTTTCTACCTTGTAACTTGCATTATTTTCTTCAAAAAAAAATTAAATAAAAAAATAGAAGAAATGCTAGTTAGGTTGAAAACCCAAACGGGCAACCTAAGCAACATTAGCAAAAAAAAAGAGTGAGTAAAAAAAATGAGAGGCTAGGATGAAAACCTGAAAAGGCTCCTAGGCAAAAGGAGAGAAATGAGAGAAGAAATTAGTTTTGCAGGAGTTCATTTTTACCATAGCAAGCAGCTGGAGGGAGAAGCAATAACTTTCTATAGTGCGGATGAATTTAAACTGAAAAAGAAAACACTTCTGTTTTTCTTTTTATCTCGTTGACACTCTTTGGATGGTGAAGAACTTTATGGATTTTACTCGAGGACAAGTAAAAGACTAAGTGTGGGGGAGTTGATTGCATTGATTTTTGAGTGTTTATATTTTTACTTTTAATTACTTTTTATGGTGTGTTGTTGTGGTAATTGCACATTTAAGGTGCAATCATTTTATTTTTCTAGTTTGTTGTAATTTAGTAAATTTAGAATCATCTTGAGCAAGAAACAATCAAGAATAAACAAAGGATCATGGAAGGGATCTTACAAGATCAAAGGAAAGTGCAAGGGAACAAGAAATCATGCAAGAAATGTGATTTGGTGACTTACCCGGTCGGGTATAGCCTTTACCCGGTCGG